AAAAAAAAAAAAAAAAAAAAAAGGAAAATGAATTCTTAAAAAGAAAAGTCGTAGGATGAATTGATACTATCTATTACACTCTCCTAACCTCAAAACAAAATAAATTGCTCGACTAATTGTTAATCAATAACGATAATCCAATTATGTGTATACAAGTGTACATAACCTCAAATTACAATTCGCATATATATATATATATACGCATAGAGAATATTACAATCTACATGTATAATTTTATCAACTGGAAAATTCGGAGTTAAAATCTTTGATAACAATTTAAAGAATTGAAATTTCGACAATTCGATGATCGTTCAAAGGGTTTTTACCGGGTACCGTTTCGATTTTAGGGAGGGGGAGGGAGGGATGCATCGAAACTGCGACGGGGAAGAACTCGTCATTAACGCAACTACGCGTTTCGAGAGCCCGTAATTAACACGATCCCGATTGCTGCCCGCTCAATCTCCCGTAAAGTGCACTCAAACCGCGCGTGATACCCGACCACTCGTCGAAATCGTTTCATTCCGTGATTATTATCGAGGAACGAGCGTATTAATTAAAGCCGCTCGATTTGATCACAGGCGTAAACTTTCTACGAATAATAATTCAATTTACCGAAAATGTTCATCGTTGCTCGTCCAATTTACCATTTTTTTATCGTCGTAAGGCAAAAGATTTCAAAAGATTTATACGTGGAATTTCACTTTTGCGCGTACACAATATTCCGATACTTTTCAACGATGGTGATTTCATGGATGGAACATATTGTTTCGAAACATTTATAAACACTTGTCTTCGAATTCATATAGCCACTGTATTTCAAGCGCAATGGATTTAAAATCCATTTCATTTCAATCTTCGAACCATTTCATTTATTCCTTCTAACATTCATTGCGATCGTAATATTTCGTAATTTAAAACGAAAGAAAATTTCTGATTATCCGTTCTTCTCTTGCGAGAAGTTTTAAGACGCGGTGGACACGAATGAAATGCGAAAGATTAGAAGGAAAATTCCAGGATAGAATCGTCCAAGAGGATGGCGAAATCTCGTTAGTCTCGTCTCGTGGAAGACACGGAGGCATTCTTGTCACATTTTTCGATCGCGCACAGAATTCGGAATGGAATGATATTTCGGAGATTTCACGATACTCGAAACGCGCCGATAACCGAAATCAGAAACGATCTTCGAGGTCTGCTCACGCGAACGACTAACAAACATTATTTTAAATATTACTCCCGGGTTGTATCGTTAAAATTAGTCCACTAGTTTATGTATCATATTATTATTATTATTCTTTTCTTTTTTTCGAAACGAAATTTAAAAGTCTAATTCGCGGTTGAACGATCCAGTTCGTTTACCTCTACTTGACTGAACCGTTGTTTCGTCACCGAATTATCGTCCACAATTGGACGCAATTGTACCTCAACTAAGACTTCCGGTTTCCGATCGGAATTAATTCGAATTATCTGTTTGAACGTTTAATTCGCTGGAATGTTTCGCTCGATTTGCAGAATCGATGATTTGTAGGTGAGATACAGTGGTCAGTCACAGAAGATTTCGTACACGAGTTAAATTGATAAATAGAGTATAATGGATTTTACATATGGAGCATTTATTTTTTAATGGAATTAAATCATTCGAAGGAGTGAAAACAATCAAATTTTCTTTCTTTTTTTTTTTTTTTTTTTTTTTTTTTTTTCAAATGACACGAGATGGAACAACGTTTTAAACTATAAAATATTCAGAGTTTTAATGCTCTGTTAAATGCCTTGTAAAAAAAGTATTTTCAGATAAAGTTATACGCATATAATATGAAAAAAATGATAAAAATTTGAAGCTCGATTTCACGCATTTAAAGAGAATTTCCATCGAAAGATAAATTGCTCCATGTATAATCGATCATTATACAAATTTTTATCGAAATCTGATTTTTCAAGATATTCATTATAAATGAATTTTATTATAAAATATGGAGATTTTTGCGATTGATTGTAAATTTTAATTGAATTATGAACTTTTGTAAAGGATTTTGATTTTCTTTTTTCTATACATTCTTGACTGGCTGCATGTATGTTTCGTTATAAAAATCGAGATAATCGGATTTTTCAAAGGATCGAAAAATATCAGAATTCCATCAGGGACGGGGTTGAAAAACCTTATAAATTGTCAGAGGGACGTGCGTGGGTTGCAATCGATGTTCATCGATGGAAGAGTGAAAAATAGAATACAGGCTGTTGTCCCAGTTTAATCGACACACGCAATTATCTCTCGTACTACACGTCGTGTTTGAAATATTGATAGAAAATAATAAAAGAAAATAAAAAAATCGAGGAACGTTTAAATGAAATGTGAATGGTACCTCTTTTCACGGAAATTAAAATTTTATATCGAACGATCGTAATATAATTTTTGATTAACTATAAATACAACTATATCGACCTATTTATTCGATATTCTATTTAGAATTTTGAATTTATTTTATTTTTCATATCCCAAATATTTGAGATCAAATATCTAAATGTTGAATTTAGATTCATGCTTATCTATATCTTTATTTGGGATAATAATTTATCTATATTTAAATATTTAAATATAATAGTTATTCAATAACCTATTTAATAATCTATGATTCCATTTAAGCATTATGAATGTTATATAACTATTATATTTAATTATTAGAATATTTGAATTCATAATATGTATATTTTAAAACAGATCATATATATATTCATTTGGTTATGTGCAATAACTTATGCATCATAATTTTAGACTAATTCCAAATCAAAAAAAGATAAATCCATTATTTATAAAGACGAAATTTATATCCTTCTTTATATATACACATCTAAAAATACATACAATAAAATTTCGAAAATTTTCACTTTTCCTCGACCAATATTCCGGCGATATTAAATTATCTCAAAGACGAATCTCGTTCGAATCCAAAGACCGGAAGAAGTTCGCGAATTCGTGGGGACTTGCGAACTTTCCGGTCGGGGAGTTTAGAAGCCCGAGACAAACTGCTAAATTATTTTCGATTCAATGGCTCGGAGAGGGAAGAAGAAGTAAAGACCGAGGGAGATAGAAGAAAGAAAAAGAGAGATAAAGAAAAAAAGAGAGAATTCCTTGTTACAGGGGTCGTCCATTAAATCGGCAAAGTCCGCAGACTCCCTGGAGGGAACGAAGAAAGAAAAGTTCCTCCGGCTAATGACGCGGCACTTTTAAAACGACCGGACTTACGCGCGCTGTCCCTGAATCATTCTGACCAGCATAAATATTCGCGAACCGTAAGCACGGGGATTAATTGAAAGACCGACTTCCCTTGGGATAATTACACTTTCCGAATTTCATGGCATAACAAGTTGTTATCTCTTATTCTTTAATGAAAACAAAGAAATTTCGTGAAGTTAACTTGTATGAAAGAGCTTTCGCGAAAAGTTTTCGCAAACTTTTCTAAAAACATGCGAATCGCGCGATAAAATCAACATATTTTTTACTTTTTCTTATTACAGTGTCCAATTAACTGTCGCATTAGCTCGGTAGTTTAATTTTCTCAATATTTATTCAATATTTTGTTTAGAAATAAAGAACAGATATCACTTCTTAAAATATCGTGAACGAATCTGTAAACCGTATTTTTTAAAACGTATACTCACTAACGAATATTGTTTGCAAACATGTTCGTTGAGCAGTTCATTGCACACTGTTTACCATTCGCAAGTGTCCACACTATTGGCAAACTTATTGCGAACTATTGTGTGTATTGTATACAAACGAAAAATAGTGTGGACTTAACCTAACAAATATCATCGTCGATCGCTGGACGACAAGAACAATCCATGCAAAAGTAACTTACCAATCATCATCAGATTCTGTTGTCAGAAACTGTGGATGCAAACAGGAATACGTGACATCGTAACTTCCTTTTCATTCTTATCGTTATATTATACACTTATAAAACCGTTAACACGACTTGTACGCACTATGTAAGAATTAATATTATTTCGGCGTCAAGAATAGATGAATCACATAATTTTAGCATTTTATACAAGTAACGCCAACGTCAACGCCAACGCCACCAACTGTTCTTAGCAAAAACTAATCTGTCTATTATTTCCTATCATACTAACTCCCTCTAGTATTCTCTACATATAACTCAATCCTCTATAGTCTGCTCTCTACTATGTCGTATCGTATACCTATAGTCTCCGTTTCTAATAATGCTGATCATCACTTACTTGAAAATCGAACTTCTCGAATTCCTGCTGCGTGTCGATATCCACGTTTCTAGGCACAATGATGGGACAGGTATCTAACGAGACCTTGGCGTCTGGTGATTCCACGTAATCCGGCGTGATGGAGGTAAGACCTCTGTCGTATCTGAGCTCTTCGTTCAAAATTCCTGCAGATGGGCCCGTGGATGGTGCCTGTGCCTGATTCACGTAGTACAAGCATAGCAGCAAAGTGAGAAGGACCGCGCAGACGACGAAAACGCGGCTTGAACCGCGTCGAAGGATCTTGTACATGGTACGAAAGTTGGATTCGCTTCGGGGCGGGCGTTCCTCGATTTCGATTCACCTGGTGCCGCGATATTGGCTCGATCCCGTGTCGGTTATGCTCGACAATCGCTCCCCGACTTTGCCGCTGTCGCCTGTCGACTTCATGAGATACTTTGGCGCCGACACGATCTGAAAGAAGAGAAGTTAAACGAAATTAATAGACTTTGGATGTAAAGTGCATAAAATATGTTAAAATATACGATCTTGTGGACATATGTTTAACGACTTAAAGTTTAAAATCATCAACTTTTTTTTCGAAAAATATACGAATCTAAAAGTTAGGTTAGAATTTTATCTCGAAACATTCTTTCGTGAAAAATTTATCGATGTAAGTAAAGAAATGAAATTACAGAGTTTCGAATTGAAAAAGGAAAAAAAAAAAAGGATTTTAAAAATTGTCGAATTCTCAAATTTCAGAAATAGACGATTTATCGGATACGATCGTCCCGATATATTATTGCGAGGAATATCGAGATTCGAAAAGCGAGATCGAATAGCATCGAATAAAAGAAGAGGACGAGAGGTAAAGTAAATAGCTTCGACTATGAATTATGAGGGCATATACAAAGACAAAGGGAAAGGGGTACTACAGGGTTGATTAAACGTCCGCGAAAATTATAACTGACTGTTCTGAATGTCCCCGAAATTGGCCCGTTCGTACGATCGATACCTATGCGTTCTCATTTTTATGACGAAATATTGAATTCGAACTTTTGAATTCGCGAAATCGCGTTCGATAAATTAAATTTATTTATACTATATTTTATTTTATTATAATTATTAATGTGCAGATTTAAATATCAATAAAATTTATCATATTAAATTAATTAATTTAAGGAATTAAATTATATATTTTTTTATATTTATTCAGATACACATTTGTGATAACTTTTTTTATATTATTATTATTAGACTAAAACTCTTTAATAATAAATTAAATAATTTTTTCGAAATCTGCCGTCCCTCTTTCCATTCTTTTTAAGATTAAGTGATCTAGGGTAATAATCTTAAGTAACTAGGATTCTAGAGCAATAGATATTTGTAACAAAATCGCGAATTATTTTTGAGGGAATCAACAATTTTTCACACGATTTTTAACATTTATTTATGTTAATATAATTACACTTTTATACATTATAGATAAAATCTTATTAATTTTTCTTATAGTAAAAAATATAAGTTATTTAAATTTTGCAAAAAACAAATTAGAAAATGTTAATATTACAATCATTTATGTTTCTAGGCACGATATTAAAAAGAGTAAATCGTTCAAATAACCAGAATCATTAGAAAAGTTCGAAGGATGAAAATTATTGGGGATTGAGAAGGATTGGAGAAGTCGTAAAAATTTTAAGAACACGTGTATCTAAATTGAAATGAGCGAGAAGAAATGAGGACGAGGAAGGAGCGATCCAATTCCGATGAGAACAATAAATACGACCTGGTGAACCAGAGACACGGTTTCCCACAAAACCTTCTGTCTCTCGACGTAAGGTCGGTTCGCACGCGATAATCGATCGTACCTGTCACCACCGACCCTGGCTGAAGAACGAGCCGCGACTTACACATTGAAAACTCGAATATCGATTTACCTTTCGTTTAAGTTATATTGAAATTGCAATCGTTAGAAGATAATGACGATAAATAATTATTTAGCAACAAACGAGTACAATATGTTTATATTATATTAAAAAATAATCAGACTCTTTTGTATTAAATTGATGATAATTTTGTACGTTTCTTTTAATTCCAATAATTTGTTTATACATTTACACATACATCATTTTTAAATAATTTTTTCATAAATCTAATATTTTTAATAATATCGTCAATATTATCTTCCATTGTAATTTCAATCCAACCCGAAATTAATACAAATCCAGGAAGCCAAACGTTTTTATTAAAACTCAAATTTAATCCAAGGATTTGAATAAACGTAACCAAATATTTTTCTTAAATTATCCCCAATATTAATCAAACGAGTTTCATTATTATAAAACAAAATTGTACGAACATCGTGACCAATAAACTCGCCAAATATTGCACAATCCAAACGTTAAACGTTTTGCGTCACGAAAAAATCATTAAAAAAAAAAAAAAACAATCACCACCACCAATCATCCCCATAAAAAAAAAATAAAAAAGCAAAGATCTTACCTTGCCTTCAACGATCCTCTCGCTCTCCCGTGACGAATCAACGGGCGATCTTCGATCCTTCCCTGTTGGAGGGGCGCGAGCGTGATGGCGAGAGGGGAAACGGGGGCGACGAGTGGCCAAACCCTTTTGTCCAACGGGCAGACGTGTCGAGGGTGCTCTCTCTATCGCGATTCACTCGATACGGTTGGAACCGTGGCGAGGAGGCCCCTTTCCAGCTTGCGAGGAAAGGATCGGCTTTCTTGATTCTTCGATTTCGAATCCTGGATTTCGCCCTTTTTTTCTCGAGCCTGGTTTCTAGAATAGCGAGGAGTTCTTTTTTTTTTTTTGTGAAAAAATTAGGGAAAATAAGAGAACAACGGGAAACGAGAGAGAGAGAGAAAGAGAGAGAGAGAGAGAGAGAGAGAGAGAGAGAGAGAGAGAGAGAGAGAGAGAGAAAGAGAGAAAATTTATAGATGTAATTTTGTAAGAGAATTTATGGGATATTGGGGCGAGAAATGTTTTATTCGAGGATCAATTTATTTTTGGATATAATTTCGCGAGAAGATTAATGGATATTTAACCTAACGTTTTGTCAATGCCTGTTGTTCGTAGCTACAAATTTTGGTGGATATTACTTCACACCTACGAGAAAAGTTGGCCGCTTATACACAGTGTTACGCCGTTTGATTAATGCGTAAAATCTAGGAAGCGGTCGTATTTTAATAACAAATTGAATTATAACGTAACCACCTCTCATCGGTCACGAGGAAAAAAATTTCACGAAAATTAATAAATACTTGGAATTTCGTGTGCGTGCGTGTATATATGTAACATATGAACCAGTGTTAATTTCAATTTATAAATGAAAAAAATATAGTGTAATTTTATAACCCGCATATTTAACAAACAAAACGGAAGAAACACCCGCGCGAAATTGAACGAATCAATCTCTTTCGCCCCAAATTCCTCCGTTCCTAAATCCGCATTATCCGTTCCAACGCGGGCGAACCTCGCGTTTAATTTTAACAATCGGCATAACCTCGCTTTTAACATTCAATTTTCATCGAACCTGACACCCCTTTTTCTCATCAGAGAGAGCGAGAGAGAGCGAGAGCGAGAGAGCGAGAGAGCGAGCGAGAGCGAGAGAGCGAGAGAGAGCGAGAGAACGAGAACGAAAGCGAGAGAGAGCGAGAACGAAAGCGAGAGAGAGCGAGAGCGAGAGAACGAGAACGAAAGCGAGAGAGAGAGAGAGAGAGAGAATTATTCCATTGCAATTGCGCGGCGAGGCGAGCAAAGGAACGCATCGGTTACACAGCGCGTAAATGAACGTTTTCACTTTTTCTTTGTTTCCTTGCCCGGGGCGGAAGAGCGAGCGACGAGCATGTAAATGGATTTTCATTTTTTTTTTTTTTTTTTTCCCCTCCATCTCTTTTTCTGTCCCTCGGAAACGGAGGAAGGAAATAGCGAGCACCGGTCAATTATCGTATGCTAATAAACGTGGAAACGTGATCGGCTTATCGCGGGAAGGAGGAGGAAGAAATTCGCGCAGAAATGGAACGAGCGGGGCGTGACAGCCGACAATCGGTGGCCGGTATCGGGATTTGCGGCAAATCTACGTATTGGCGCCCGATTTATCGCTGGCCCCGCGGTTTTATCGAACAATACCAATTACTCGTATGTTAATAACGAGCCGGGTATAATATCGATCCATCCCCCTCCCCTCTCCGCGCCCGATCCAATTCGCCGTGACGATTCCATAAACAACAACAACAGGAGGAGGAGGAGGAGGAGGAGGAGGGGGAGGGGGATTGCGCGCTCCATTTGAATTTTAAAATTTCGAGCCGACCTCCTCTTCCTCCTCCTCGAGCCGATCGATTCATTGGCCATGAATATTTCGTCCCGATTGTTTGTCCATCGGTTGAATCGGCGTCCATCGGCGAACGAGATTAAAAAGAAAATTTTGCGATTTTACTGCTTTTTCCTGCGAGATAAAAGGAGGGAAGATGTTATTTTATTAGCCGAGGATTTTCAACTCTTTTTTTCCTTTTTTTTCTCTTTTTCTCTCTCGATTTGAAAACGGAACTTAGAATTAACTATAATACGAATCGGGAAAATTTCGTTGGAAATTTATCATCGTCGATAAAAAAAGAAAATAAAAAAAAATTGATGGAAATATTCGTGTTACGCGAGAATCGTACAAATTTATTAATAAATCGCGTTATATAAGATAAGATATCGTTATAAGGAAAATGGTTTAAAGGAAAAAAAAAAAAAAGAAAAAAAGTAATGTGTCGTTTATGTCCTTTATCATCGTAACTGTATTATGACGTGGTAAAATTTATTTTTAGAACCCGTTTTTTTTTCTTTTTTCTTTTTTTTTTTTTTTTAAGGTGTGCGATAATAAGATTGACATTTGTAAATATCAAACTGTTATAAAAACTTAATAGTTTCCTTATCGAGAGATTATTCGAGAAATATAATCCGAGTTATAGCACGAATAAAAATTCTGTCGTAAATCTAAATTTTACAACGCGAATATTTTCGAACATTTGTACGAGCCACGAATAGTTATGAAGAGGGGGTCGATTGTATTAATTTTGAAAAAACACGGAAAGAAAATGATAAAAACGAAGGAGTTAAATGAAGGGGAACAGCTGATTCATCGTTTTCAGTAGAATCGTCCCGTTGCGGGTCAGACCGCAACACAAGAATATTTTCGTGGAAACGAGACTTTCCTCGGGAAATACCCAACGATCGGTCAACTGCGACCAATCTGTGTTTATTGGAATCTGTGAGAATATTTTCGATACGACGCGATCGAGGAAACTTTTCTCGTCGAAAATTTCATGAAATTTCTCGCCCAATATTCCTATGAAATTTTGAAAATTTTATATACGCCAATGCGTGCTCTCATCGATCTAATAAAATTATTTAATATTATAATAACGTGCAATTTTAAATTGTAAATACTTTTTTTATTTATTCGAAGTTATCCGAATTAAAAAATGTTTGTGCAAATTTTTATTAGAATAATTTTGTTACTAGATAATCTGATATTCTCGTATTGCTGGATATAGAAAAATTAATTGTTTCGTATCGACACGAAATTCTAAAAATCTAAACAAATCGCTTAAACAATAAAATTTTTATAATTTTTCACGTTTTATAGAATTTATATTTACAAAATTATTTCGAAGAATATTTGAATACCAATCGCATTCAATATTACACTATCCAATTTTCTTACATGTTTCCATCTCACGAAAGGCCGCAATTTCACGTCAGCGGCTGAGGATGCGTAACCACGTTCCCGCAGAAACCGCCAAGAACCTACCACCGATCCCAAAAAGAATATTCCTCAACCCCGACCAACAAAACCACCGACATCCCTCCACCACAAATACTGCTCTATTAAACTTTCTAAAAACATACCATTACGTAAGCTTCACACATTCACTAAATCAATCTTTCCATCAAACTGTCTTCGTCAAATCAATTCGAAAAAATAATAAAAGAATCGCGAAAGAACTCGAAGAAAAATTATCATTTACTACGTATTGGTTCCTATTCGATCGAATTATGGCTAGTATTATTTGTATAGGTGTTTATTTTGGAAAAGTCGTTATTGTTGATATTAGAGTTCGTTTCGAATCGTAAGTCTTTGTCGCGAGATAAATTTGTTCTATTGTGGAAAGTAGCATAGTTATCGAATTAAAATTTTCTTTCCGTGAAAAGAACGTGAAGAGAGAAAGAATATAGCTATTGGTACCACGCTATGTTGTTTGTTCCATCCTTTTGACTACAGCGTGAGTCGCTAGTTCACTAAGTATATTGTACTTTCTTCTATTCTTTCCACAGAGAAAATTTTAGTTCATTTTCTTCCACTCTTTCATAAAGAATTTTTATTCAACTATATATAATATACTACTTTCTTCTATTCTTTCTACACAGAGAATTATATTAACCGTATTATTTTATTCCACTCTGCCTACGAATAGAGAATTTTTCTAAACAATCCTAATCCCTTCTAACAATCTCAAAAATCAATGCTGGTTAAGCGTTAAATATACGCATAAATATACCGACCAACGTATAATTCGCCAACACATAATTCTCACATACATTCGCAAAACTATATCAATTTATTATTACGTTATTCAAACGCTTCACCAAAACACCACATTGTTTACGTATTCTTCAAAACCCATTTTAAACTCTACACAATCCCCAAATAAACAATCACAAGCAATCACGAATTAATCACGAATTAAGAAAGCACGAAACCAAAAACGAAACCAATTCCAAAAAAACAAACCTGATCCGTAAAAAAACGACTTGATTGACCGGCGAACACGCGGAAACGGGGAGGAGAATATCGAGCGACGCGAGCGGTACCGTACGCGACCACGTACCACGCCGTACTGAGCGCAACGCCACGGTCGGAATAGTTTTGACGCGCCGCCGGCTGGCTCGCCACTGCGCATGTGCCGATATAATCCACGCTTCTACGCGCAACCAACACACGTGGAACGTCGAGTGAACGTACGCGGGCTCGAGGGAGGGGAGTTTGGATGGCCCAAGGGTGTTTTGACTCGCGAGCACACCGTTTCGTCCGCTCGACCTCGCTTCCTTCCACGGAGGGTGTCTGATCCGTCGAGGGGGGTGATCGATGAACAAGTGGCGAGGAAAGGGCAGTGGGTAGGGGGAAAGAAAGAAAGAAAGAGAAAGAGAGAGAGTAAAATTCTTGGCCCGTTGTTCTGTCATGGTATTCGCATGGAGGCGAGGGAGGAGGTATATATAGAGATTGTTTTCGTATCCGTAAAGGGGGAGGGAAGATTCGTGGGTGTTTTGAGGCGGATGAAGCGAGGTTGTAATGACGCGTCTGATGAATTGAAGTTGGTTAAAGGAGGAT